GTTGGTATGTTGAGCTCGGAGTTACATTCCTTAACTGGATGTTGACTTTCAGGTTTGCAGAGAGGTAAGAGTTGAACTTGATGTGTCTCAATTGACGCGATCTAATGATCAGCCGCATGGTGTGTTTTTCAACCCGCACATCGTTTATTACAAGTCTGATACGAACAAGGGTTCCTTACTTCGACCATATGCACGCCATTATATTCCTGGCGCCCGTCAGCTGCTTTGATCAGGTGCGGTCCCGCGGCGTGCAGGATCTCGAGGATTGACCTTGGTACTATTTAGGTGCTAGCTGAAGACGATAGGGTCAATCGCCTTGTAAATTGTACTCCAGAGGAGGTGTTTCTAAATGCTGAGGAATTCCAGGAAGACTCGATGATATTGTGGAAAATTATCGTCTCGAGCCCCCTCCTCAAGAATGCCAACCTCATTCTATTTCTAAATAAATGTGATATCCTCAAGGTAAGCCTCTCCGTGCTCCTTATCCACGTTTTCCATCTGACCCCCACCACAGACAAAGCTCGCTTCAGGAATAAAATTATCTGACTACGTTACTTCGTACGGCGATAGGCCTAACGACTTCGAGAACTGTTCCCAATGCAAGTGTCAGTTGTTCTAGTTATCTTTCTCCAACTCACGTGCGACAGACTTGAAAAAGAAATTTGGTGTGTTTCCCAGATCACATTAATCCAAGTCCAGCGCCTTACTGCCCTGCAGCCGGAATCGTCAAGAACTATTCGCCAACCAGTCGAGCTTATTATACATATTTCACCTCCGTGATTGTGCGTCGACCTTTTCTTCGTTGGTAATGGTCACGATGCCACCATTAATTGCAGGATTTGCAATCCACCTCCGACATCCTGGGTAGTGGTACGTGGCACCAAGTATTTAGAACGAGATGATAATTTTTCTCCAGTGCAGGATACGATCATCAGGCAAAGTCTGGGCAAGAACATGTTGCTATAGCGGTCACTAATAGTGCATCATATAACTCGCTGGTCATACACGTCTTGACAGATACCTCTATCAAGAGTTCGAGTTTATCACGATTTCCCTCCCCTTTCTGGGCAGGCCTGTTACCAAAGACGTTCGATTCGGATTCTTTGAAGGTTGAGCTTCCGTCGTTACCCCTTCTAGTGTCCTGCAGATCAGGAGAAGTCGCGCGGAGAGAAAACATATCGGATGTTACTTCTCAACAAACACTTCGTCAATTCAGTTGTTTTGCCGAGGATCTGCCGAGAACGATACCACTTTTGTCTGTCCTCGTGCGGCGACTATAATGCTAGTTGAGAACTTGCCTCAGATGAGGTCCAGTTCAACTTCGAATCAAACGCCATCCTGTATTTTCAGAACCAACACCAAGAATCCCATCCTATTGGTGGCGAAGCTAACTTCGACAGAATACAAACAGAATATGCTGATCATCTCCCGATGATCGATCAGCGCTCAGCGCTCCCAAGGACTCCACCAGACCTGTGCCCTCATATCTGAGTGCAAGGTGATTTCCGACGACTCCCCTATCCTATCCTATCTCCGGTACATGTGCCTCTCAACCTTTTTTTAAAAGTAATTCGATTGGAAAGAAGATCTCGAAATGACCCGCGCCATACCGTGGAAGATCCTGAGGACCAAGAAAGATCGCAAGTACGTTAACGGTCTCCTGATCTTCTCCTGACCAGCACGTTCAACCAAAATTCGTTAAGGTTCCTCCCGAGAAGGCGCTGTGCGAGAAAGGCGGAATGAATGGACTCCCTACGTGAGAGTGGCCTCCCCACGTTAAAGGGTCATTCCCCAAACCAGGCCCTTGTCGCTCCCTGCGCCCGCAAGCTATTAATGTCTTCAGAGAAGGTGGACCAGGGAATTCTTTCAGAGGAAAGGTGTATCAACCTCGTTGACAACATCAACACGCGGTTAGCCGTGTTTGTTTTTTTGTTCGTTTAGGAGAAGGGGTTTGACGAAGAACTCAAACTTTTCCAAAAAGCTGCCCTCATTGCTCAGAATCTAAAGGCTTTCGAGTCCATTCCGAGCTCGATGAGGAGGACAAGGCGGCAATTGGGCGTGAGATAACTCGTACGTGAATACCTCTCTCGGACCCTACTGTACTGAGCGCGTTGCAGACAAATGGACGCAGCCCAGAGATTTGTGTAATTGAGGGACGTTTCTCGCCTTATATTGACGTTCTGCAGACCTGACGGTCATATTGCGCTCTATCGGTGGTAAGACGTTTTCTTCACCACAATAGCCCTACTTTACTTGTTCTCTACAACAGCGGCGGTACAGGGTTTGTGTTCACATAGCTGTCTCAAGATAGTACTAACATCTTTCGATAGGGTTTGTGATAGAATTCCTGCCTGTCCTCGACACTGAAATAAACTCCGTTCAGTTGGGATCAAACGGGTTCGAATGGCGCCAACTTGGCTTTCTAATCGAGTTCAACATTGACCCTAATGATCCCGGTTGAACTGGGGCAAGGAACCAGTGGATTGTCGGAGTATCAACAGTGCTCCGTACATTTCTAGCGCTTTGATTGGGTTGGTGTTTTTCGTATAACTTAGCCAAAAGCTCACAGGCGAGAAGATGCTGGCTTACAGACCCCCTGAATAATTATTTCGGACGTCGCGGTTCGTCGGCAGTAATCACGATCGACGCAATTCATTAACGATGTGAAGGCGCTATTTTCTTCTGTGCTATCTTCTGCACGCTCTCGGGTGAGGCATTAATTACTGGGTTTGTATCGCATCTTACGTCTGTAGTAATTGGGTCCGGCTGTGGACAAACATGGCCGCAGCTTTTCGTGAGCTAGTCCTCCCCGCCTCAACTACAATTAAATCTCAGCACTCCAAGTTTGCCGCCTTCTCCTCGGTCTTGGAATGCGTCCTAAGGCTTCGACGGTTCCTGTGCGTTCAACCCAGTGTTTGTTTGGAGACATTTCTCTTAGGTATTTGCCGCTGAGAACACACCCGCCTCCATTCGCGGCGGTCTCGTCATGTCTTGGCAGCTTTGGATGAGCTATTGAATTCCTCGGCATGCAATATGAATCATCCAGTTCTTCGCTACTTTACAGACCGCCTTCGGCATTTTCCTGGGTTTCTGCACCAACTTGGCTCTCTATCAAGTCGGAAGGAAGGGTCGCGTGGAGGTTGCAACTCGGTTCGGCGTTCCTCCCTGCCATCCCCTTGTTGTTCGGGGTGTACTTGTGCCCGGGTATGTCGTCCGATTCTCGCGTAGCACCTCCCAACTAAATATCTCTGGGAAAGAATCTCCGTGATGGCTCACGAAGAAGGGACGTTACCAAGACGCGTATATTTCCTTCAAGCGCTTACGGAACACCGAACTTCAAGCCGCCCGAGATATGTACTATATGCACTGGCAGCTCATGGAAGAGTACGTCGTTCTACGCGAGGCAAACTACTTTACGCGTTTCCTCGAGTTGTTCACGATTCCCCGGAACCGCCGTGCCTCCCTTGCGGCCTTCGTGGTCATGATTGCGCAGCAGGTATTTCCGCGTACCGTTAACGCTGTCATAAAACGGCCATACGGATCCTATGCCTAGATGTGTGATATGAGCATTCCTTCGTACTTACTGATCAGACATCTGATTCACAATGTAAAAATTGCGACCATCAGGAAGCGAGTGGCCACTCTTTCCATCGCAAACCGTTTTACTTACCCAGGGTGGTTGAACAGTAAACATCATCGTACGTTCAACTTTCCGTCGTTTTTATCGCTTTACTCAACTCTTGCCTAGGCATTTTATTCCTCCAACGTCTTCGTCGATGCGGGTTACACGAAATCAGCGCTCCTTGCGTCGTAGGGGTTCGGACTCGTCAACTTGTTGGTTACTCATTTTAAAAGATTGTCCTCCCAACTTACGATGACTGGGTGGCTTGTTCGCTTTCCCAGCTGTCTGGGTTCGCTTCCTCCATTATCGCACCTGTTGAGGAACTGACCATAGCCCTTAGACAATCGATACCGTTTGTTCAACCGTGCGAATATAGCCGTCATAGAATTGATCGATTTGTTTTGCAGTTCGGACGGCGGAACTCTCTGACGGCGGTAAAAAAGCCCCGGAGTCATCCTCCGGGGAATTTGTTGGTTGATATTATCGCCAGGGCCTTTGCTTCCTCATCCCGGCTAGCTCCAGCGTGCGTATCCCGCCAGTGGCGCTGTTTGTCTTCATCTTTGCGGGTACGTTCAATGGGCTTGGAAGCGTACCTGTATCAATTGTGCGCACAGCGTTCTAAAATTGAGCATGTCTTCACAGGCCTTCGCTGCCGCGACTAATCTGTTCTTTGCGTCCGTCCTCAGTGTACGTCGCCGCGCGCGTAGTTTCCCGGAGAAATACTTACCTGGCATAGGTGACATTCCCTCGAATTCTTTCTACCTTCACCGCGGTGGGAGGTCAGTCTCCTTACCTTCTTACCAATCTCCCTTTAATATTCGCTCATTCCTTGAACCCCTCTGACACCGTGCACCACAGCCTTCGGATTCTACGCGGGCCTCAACATCGTCGCCCTAGTAATGATCTTTTTCCTCCTCCCCGAAACCAAACAACGCACCCTCGAGGAACTCGACTACGTCTTTACCGTGCCCACGCGCCGGCACATCGCGTACCAGGGCGGTACCTTCCTCTCGTATTGGATCAAGAGATGGGTGTTTTTCCAGGTGGGTTCAATAATGCGACCACAACACTGTTACACTTGTATGGGTGGTTGCGTTCTGAACGAAGATTGTCTAGCGAGACGCGCATCTTGAGCCGCTGTACGACTTTGAGGAAGTGGAGTCGGTTACGGTGTTTGAGAAGGAGGCATTAATCGAGGTTCAACGCGTTCGGCTGTACAACTTCATCATGTGTCTTTCTGTCTTTGTAATTTGTACACAATTTTAAATTTGATTGGTGAACCTGTGTCATCTATACCAGCAATGGCAAAGCTGGTTGAACTACGCTGAGGACAGGACGACGGTGAATGAAAACGAAATTGAACCAGGGCAAAAATAAACTCTCGACCTGGGAGTCGAACCCAGCTCTGCCGCGTAATAGATTACAGCGATAATGCCTATGACAAGCGGCTGTACTAAACCGATATACTAGTCAAGAGATGACCGTCTCCCCCAGTAATACTCTATAACTCTCAAAGCAAGGTGAGTGGAAGCACTTTCTTTCGGTCTGCGCGACAATGTGACGTTTTCGGAAAACGCGAGGAAAGTCGACGCTTCATTGCAAGCCTGATGAAGTTGCGTGCTGGAGTGAAGCCTCAAATCAGGCAAAAAAACACGATGCGCCTCGCGATCGAGCACTACTTAAGAGGACAACAGCAAATCAGCGCACAAAAGACCTGCAGGAATATAATAGAATAGAATAAAATTTTGGTTTCTTGTACTAGGTCAGACTAGGGGTAATACTACACGACACCGGTGTGGCGTCAATGGCGACTATGTACGGGTGCTTTTCGTTTTGAAGCAGGTGTGGTGGGTGGGTGGGGTGGAGAGCAGGTAAACAACAGAGATGTATAGATATGGGAGATATATAGATATGTGGGAGGAGATGAGATGAGAGTACGTGAGGAGGAGGAAAGGCGTAAGTGTGTGAGTATGTGGGGGTCGTGAGGTGAGGCAGGTGCGGAGAGGACGGGGAGGGAGAGGAGGGAAAGAGACAGACAGAGACAGACAGAGAAGGACAAGCAAGAGGACCAGCGCGTAAATGGAAAACGGGAAAAGGAAACGGAGAGGGGAGAGATTAATTATATAGATAAGTATCGTCGTCGCGTCCGTCCAGCCGACCAACGCCATCCAACCGCCGTCCACGGGCCCAAGGAAGGAATCTACTCATCAAGCGGGAACAAATCGTCCTCGACGTCGCGCGCAGCGACGGGCGGGCTGAGCGGGCTCCGCGGCGTGCCGCTCGTCCAACGCCCTGCGCCTCCTGCACCCCCGGTGGCGCCCCCGCCACCACTGGGGTTTCGCTGCATCCCTGGCGCCCCGCCAATACCAGGCGGCGGCGCCCCCCTCGCGCCCGCCGCCGCCGAGTACGACAGCCTCGAGAACATCGTCTCCAGACCCGCCGCGCCCGCGCCCGGCGGGGACATCGCCTTCCCGCCTTGTCCTTGTCCTTGCGTGGCGTTGGCGTTGGAAGGAGCGGGAGGTGGGGCCGGCTTGGTACTGCTCATAAAGCTCGGCGGGAACCCGGGGCTCCCGCTGATGCTCCCGGGGCTCATCGTCGCCCAGTCGCGCGACCCGCCCGTGCCCGCCCCGCCCGTCACGTACACGCCCAGGCCGGGGGTGTTTGAATTCACACCTCCCGCTCCTACACCGAAGGACGGCGAAGTCCCAAACGCCGCGGGCGACGGGCTCCCGATCATAGGCGCAGGGGGCGGCAAGGCGTGGATGCGCGAGTACCCCGCGGCGAGGCCCTGCGGGAGCGACTGCCCCGGCGCGTGCGCCTGCAGCGCGCGCGCGCTGGGCGAGAGGATGTGTGTCTGCCCGTGGTGCAGCTGCTGCGTGAGGTCGAAGGGGTTGGGGCGGACGTAGGCATTGTTGTTATTGGCGTTTGCGTTATTTGGATGCGCAGCGCCGGCGTTGGGGGCGTTGGCGTTGGCGTTCCCCGCAGCGTTGGCGTTGGGAGAGGGCGAGCTGTTGTTGGAGTTCATGGCATGCTGTACGCCCGACGGCCCCGCGTGCAGATAATGCGCGATCCCAGGCGGGCCCTGCGCCGCCGCCGCGTTGCTCGCAAAGTTCCCTGCATTCCCACCACTTGCATTCAGTCCATTAGTGCGTTTATTCTGGTTGATGTAGTGGTGGATGCCGGGCAGGAACGCGGCGCTGGCGTTGCTCGGGCTTAGCGAGGGCACCCGCATCCCCATCCCGCCGAGATGGTCGTCTACGAACGAGCCCGAGCCCACCCCGCCCCCGCCGTTGTTGTCGCGTCCCCCGAATCCGCCTGAGCGCGCGGAGGAGTACGAGCTGGGGCCGAGGTTGCTGTTGTGCATGGGGGAGGACGGGAGGCCAAGACCAGGCGGGGGACCTTGCTCGGCGGCCCAGATGGACTTGAGTTGTCCATGCTCGCCGCCGAGGAGGGACGGCGCGGGGACGGAGCGGCTGTAGCGATGCCCACCGCCCGCGTGCTGGTTGAGGGGCACCCCGAGCCCGTGTCGCGCGGGCGACGGCGACGTACCCTCACCCGCCCCCTGGCCCGAGTTGGTGCGCGACATGCGCCGCATGCGTTCTTCGGGCGTTAGGAGATCCGTGAGGCTGCTCGGCAAAAAGTCTTCCAAGTCCTCCGTCGAGTCTTCGCGCAGCGTCGCCTTCCGCCGCCCAGTGTTGGTGGACCCAAACTCGAGCTCGTACTCGGCCGCGACGTCGTACCCGCCGTTTTGGCGTCCCGCGGATGCGGAGAGGAGGGAGGTGCGGAGGGGGGAGGAGGAGGTGCCGTTGACGCCGCCGCTGTTCCACCCGCCTGGGCCACCGCCCATCGCCATGCCGCTGCCGAGACTCGCAGCCATGCCCGTGCGCCCGGTGTCGGCGTAGCCGCGGAACATTGACTGACCCGGGGCAGAGAAGGGGGAGGTGGAGAGGAAGCCGTTGGCTTGGGTGGGAGGTGTGCCCGAGTGCATGCGCGCCGGGGAGGTGGCGGACGAGGGCGGGGAGCCGATGGGGCCGAAGTCCTTGTTGGGGGACGTGCTGGTCATGCTTGGGCGGCGTGGGGCAGACACAGGCAACGTGGGGGAGGGGGGCTTTGTTTGGGTGGGGGAAGGGGACTTGTTGCGTGCGGGGGCGGTTGGGAGCTGGCTGCTCTCGTCGAGGGCGGCAAAGGAGGCAAAGTCGGTGTCTTTGAGCGGCGGGGCGGGTGCGGAGGGGGATATGGTCGCCTTGAGGGGCATGTTCATCGGTGGCCGGGCACGAGTCGGCGCTGTAGACCCGCCTGCGAGGAGGGGATTGCGGGCATTGTTCCCGCCGTCGCGCTTGCTGCCCCCGCGGCCCTTGCCGCCTCCCTCGTGGTTTTTTGCGCCCCCTGCAGCGATTTGAGCGGCTTTTTTGTTCTTGCGGTCCATTGCCATTGTCTGGCCGGGGAGGACGTGTGCGAGGGCGCATTTGTGACCAAACTTGCAATTACCCTTTACAAACCAGGCGCAGACGTCCTTTTGACCGCCAGGCTCGACGAGGGAGTGGGAGAAGGGACAGGAGGAGCCCGCGGTGCACGAGCCGACCTTGTAGAACTTGCACGGCACATGGGACAAATCTTTTGCTGCTGCGCTCCTCAGTCAACCAAAAAACTCGGGGAAAAGAGCGGGACATACTCTTTGAGGACGCGGATTTCTTGCCTCCTCTGCTGTCGTCCTTTTCTCGATCGTCGGGCGAGTCACTGCGGTCTGCTGAAGGCATTACAACGCTGGTAACGGCGTACAAGACCCGCAAAAAAGAGGGGTGGTAGAGGAAAGCAAGGAAGACGCTCAAAAAAGGGAGTGCAAAATGCTGATCAAACGAGGTCAGGCTGACTAAGCGCCATCACTTCTCAACGCAGCGACAAACCCCTCAAAAAACTCGCGTCCAATCTATGCCACCGCTTGTACCTTTTCCAGGACCCAACAACGAGCTGTAGCCGTCGACAACGCTTCAACGTCCTCAATTCACCACCGCCTGCGCAACATATCTCCTTCTGGGTTTCTTGGGCTCGACGCTGTTCAAGTCTTGTGACGTTCGCTCAACCGCTATCCCAGTGACGCAGCTCCAGTTCGACTTCTCCACAGCTGGGCTCCGATCGGCAGTGTTCGAGGACAGCTCGCCACAAGGGAATATTTCCTAGTCTTTGTCCGAGTCGGCCTCTTCGGCGACTGTACATGCTCCTGTGCGCAGTAACCCTCGATCAGTGAACCCAGCCAAATGCAGTATCACGAACCGAGGATTCGTTCGGCGATCTTCGCTTGAGTGGGGGAAACCAAAAAAAAAGTGAGCAACCGGGGTCTGACACATGGTGCCGTCGGGAGTCGAACCCAAGAAGGTGCAGTTCAAAGTTTTCTTGTGCCGTTAAACTGCCGTGCACCTTGACCGTCAGCGACACCGTTTGGTATTAACCGTCTAGTGCGGGTCTGTTGTATGGGGGACTGTTTTTCCGACGAGATTGGCTTGCGGTGAATCGCGGAAGCTTGCAAGTTTATTTCCCCCAACCACCGTCAACCTTGGTGAAATTCCAACTCCCGAACCCATGCACAATAGTACCTGCAAGACGGAATAATCAAGGCCGCCGTGAATCTTGCTTGGGTAAAAAAAAGAAAACACAATTATCCTGCAGTATGGTGCCGTCGGGAGTCGAACCCGAGATGATGCAGTTAAACTTTTCTTCGTGAAGGAAGCAGGGACATTTCTGTGCACGTTGACCGTCAACAGCACCAGTTGGTGTTAACCTTCAAGTGCGGGCCTGTTGTATAGGGACTGTTTTTCCAACCAGGTTCCCTCGCTTGCGATTAATCGTGGAGGCTTGCAAGTTTATTTCGCCGAACCAACATAATCAACCTGGATGAGATTCCCGAGGCCATGGACGAGACGGAGTAACCAAGGCCGCCGTGAATCTTGCTTGGGTAAAAAAACCATTATAAACGCTCTATGGTGCCGTCGGGAGTCGAACCCGAGATGATGCAGTTCAAATTTGAACGGGCAATGAACGGGCATTGGAATTCTTGTGCACCTTGACCGTCAACAGCACCGGTCGATATTATCCTCAATCCCAAGCGTGCTTTACGGGGTACGATTTTTCCACCTCTGCATGAAATCAACTTCACCGGTTTTCGTCGCTCGAGTTTGGATCCCAGACATAAGTAAAATCAAAATTCCTGGACCCTGGAAGATAATACAAGATGAGCAGACCAAGGCCGCCGTGTGACCTTTCTTGTGTACAAAAAAAGCAGCGCTAACCATTCAAGAATGGTGCCGTCGGGAGTCGAACCCGAGTTGGTGCAGTTCATTTTCTTGTGCTGTCAAACTGTCGTGTACCTTGACCGTCAGCGGCACCGGTCGATGCTGTCCTTCAAGTGCGGGCAAGCTTTATGAGGTACTATTTTTTCAACCACACGTCCTTCCTCGGTTTACCATCCAACACTGGCTCTC